GATACGAGGAGCTCTGCAGAAGCATTTCATCCTCCTGGCACCCCACTCCCCTGCAGCTCTTTCCAGCTGCTCCTGCAGCAGTTTTTTTACAGGGCAGGTTGGCAGAAGCCACGTAGAGGGGCGTGAGGGTGGGGGAAGTCAGGTTTTTATTCAGCCCTCCCCTCTCTTGCTGTGTGGATAGTGCTGGTATGTGTGCCGGAGAACAGCAGGTTTTGATTTGCATAATCAGAAGCTTCTTGCCAGAGAGCTGTCTAAAGGGCAAACCAGAGGGCAGCCAGCAGCAAAACTATTTTCTAGCTTCAAAGGTGTTCCTTTCAAAGGCCAGTTTAAACCCTTGAAGTATTAAAGCTGAGAAAACAAATCAGGAGAAGAATGGAATGAAATTATTCTTACCAAAATACCAAGCCAGATTCATGTGCTTGGAAGCAGGAATTAACCAGAACAGCGCAGGAATTGCACTTCACCCTGCTGTGCAGTGAGTGTGCAGGTTGGAAAGCACTACATTCCTGCTGGTGAGAGCAGCCTGCTCTGCTCCTTCCAACCTGGTCTGTGAGGTCCTGTACTTAGGAAAAATACTGAGCAGCTAGGCCTGAGAGCCAGAGATAGAGGAGTAGGGGAGCCATACAGATACCCACGTCCCTCTGTCGGCATTTCTCACTCTACCTAAGGACCACACACCGTGCTGAGAAAACTAATCCTGCACCAAAAGCAAGCTTTCTTGACAAAGCTACAGAATGCTTCTAAGCACTGCTTCTTCTCCCTGCCATCTCCAATTAAATTCTTTGCAGCTCCTGCTATGAGGAATTTACATAAACTCAGGGAACTCATTAATGCCGTTTAAAACCCAGTGCTTTAAATGGGTGATTATTAAATGCACCTTTGTGTTTTTCAAGTATTGCGAATCTAGCTAATTAGCCATTTGGCTTTATGTCACATACATAGTATATCATCATGGTATTTCTGCTGAAAGGCTGTCGTTGAATTAAATCCTGAATGCTTAATTCTCTGTCATAGGTATGATGTTGATTCACGTGTGTGTAACTCCTCCTAACGTGAATTTCCAGTGTTTTCAACCCAGCTGTTGGACTCGTTCTCCAACACCTTGAGAGCCGTTAATCACCACCGTGTACTCTTAAACTGAAGACACAGGCTTCGACTTCCTTTTCCTAGACAAGTCCTACATGAATTGCTCATTGACACCTCCACTGAGAGAACCATCAGTGCAGCAAACATCCTTTCCTCTCCTTTCAACTTCTCAGCAGAAGAAAGGTGTTGCTTTCACTTCAAAGTGCCTTGCTGATCATCTTTGGGACTGGCTGTGGAACTGGGCTGGATGCACAGGACCCGGCTGCATCCTGTCCAGGCACTATGCCATGCACCACTCGGCCTTCTTCAAGCACCAGCAAGGTCAGCCCCTTACGTTTATACTTTTTTCTCTATTTGTGAACCTCAGTCAATTTAAAAGGAATGACCGTGGGTCGACAGCAGTCACTCTGCTACCAGATTAAGAAGAAATGAAAGGAAAAATCAGTTCAAGCTGGTAGCCCAAATATTCCTGAAGATCTTGGTAGGAAGCAACTCCATCCTATGTTATTAAAACTGAAGTGATGGCAATGACAGTGCTCAGCTTTTCTCAACACTGCAAATATCTTTCTTGGGAGTATATGAAGATTGCAGAGTATATAAGGATTGCAGAAGGTACAGGAGTCTATCTGAGGAAGGTGGTGGTGACCTGCAACGTACAAAGGCAGCTTTTGGTCTCAATTTTTACATTTTGAAGTAATTCTCATTATTGTTCCTTTTCTCCAATTTATTTTTTCAGTGAGTTATCATTATTAACACAAGAACTGCTGCTGTTTATTTCAGTATGAGTCTATTAGTTCTCAGAATCTGCAGGCACCATTCATTCAGTAGTCTGAAAAAGGTGGTGAACAAGGAGTTTCTAAACATCAGAGCTGGGTTATAAAACTGGAAAGAACTTCCATTTGCTCACCCATCACCTTCAGCATCACACCCAGATCCACTTGCTCGTGCTGCCTCATAGGACAGTGCTCAAGCTGAGCGCTGTCACCAGTGAAAGGGCCATAAAGCAGTCTGGTCTACTGCCTATGTGCTCCTCTTCATTTTTTCCTAATGTTTATCACACTTCTATACTGCAGTTCACATTCATCATTACTTCATCTGTCACTGTGTACTAGTGACAATGTCTTGGTCCTTTTACTCTCTGGGGTAACTGTATTTACTGAAACTCCTCAGTAGGAAGCTCAGTCCTTTGGTGTCTAGTGCAGAAAAGAACAAGCTGCGTGGATGTGTATCCGAATCTCTTGGTTATGCAAATGTAGTTTGAAATGTTTGTCCTTGAACTGCTGCTGAAAGCTTTTCTAGGCAGATAATGAGCACTGTAAGAACTAGTACCAGCACTAGGCTCACACAGAACGTAAGCAGAAATCCTTCTTTTCAACCATGTGCTGAATGATTTTCATTGCTCCTCACTTTTGCCTAACTGTGCCCCAGGCAGCTCCCTTGTTACTCGATTCTAAAGCAGGGACATAATATTCTCCTTGCTGTACCCTATTATTTCCTTCTTTTATTTTCGCTCACTTGTGCAAAGACAGAAAAAAGAAAGTAGCAGCTGGGCAAAAATTTCTGATCTTTAGAGCGTCGCTTCATATTTGCATTCAGACTTTCATGTGAAATTGCATCACTTGACCTTACTTGCTTCTCAGCTGCCTGCCTCTTAGAGCATAAAAATGACAACTTTTGAATTATAGACTGTAAAAAGTACTAATTTTCTGAGCAGTCTCCTGAGAAGAGCACTTCACCAGAGCATAGCAGAATGTAGATATCCTGTTCGTGGTGTTTATGGTTGAGGATACTTTCACGTGTTTTGACTTGTAGACTTAAACAGGTTTTAATGAGAGATGGGATCATTTTGATAATCTTGTTTGAGTGCTGCAAAATATGTTCCTTCAAGCCACAGGCCCACCAAATTACAGTATGTGTATTCTTTAATACACTTCCAAAAAATCTTGGAAAAGCCAAATGGCATTAGACAGATAAGCCTGGGAAGTGTTGACTGGTTAAGTAGTCAAAGCGGCACATTAACCACTAATCAGTGCAATTCAGACTTTCAGCTGAGTCTTTTTTGTTTAGCATCCTCCATGGGAATATCACATGGGAAGATGAAATTTCTTGCAAGAGTGAAACTTTGGGCTCTGATTTGTGATCTTTGCTAATTAGTGCTGCAGTGATGTCTTAAAAAAAAAAAAATCCCACAGTGCTGCTTTCCCACTGCCTGTGCCATGTGTTAGCTACCACCCCAGAACCAGCAGCAGTGAGGTCTGAGTCTTCCCAGGTGCTGACACACCAACCCGTGAACAGCAACAAATTGAGATCAATGGTAGTTTATAGTAATACACTGGAGGCTGAGGAGCAGATGGGCTCTCTGCGAACGAGGTAACCTTGAGTACTGGGAGGGAGAACAGCTGAAAGTGGTGAAACTTTGAGCTATTGTCCATCTGTATTTGTGTATATTTCTTAGCCCCTGTGCTGGTTTTCTTAGAAAAGATCATGAGTTTGGTATGATTGTGTAAAAAATAAAACACCATCAAGAGCTAACAAGTTACTAAAACCCATGTTGTACAGAGAGTAAAAAAGACCTATTATACTGTTTCATGTAAATAACAATGTCCTTTACTACACATGGCTGAGATGAGTAATTTCCCCTTCCATCTGGGCTAGGCCTGGGGAAACACAAGACCAGAGATTGCTTCAGAGGGGAGGAGCAAGGTGATCTGAAAACAAGACAAACTGGAATGGTGTCAAAACAACCCATCTGATGGCACAGCGGGGGCTGCTGTGATGGCAAATCAGGGTCTGGTTGGCCCCGTTCTGAGGCATGGAGGGAAGAAAACACAAGGGGTTGGTATCCAGGATGGTGCGTGCAGCTGTACTGCACAGGCAGTAAAAGTACTCATAGATGTATTCCTTCTCAGAAGCTAGTTTAAAGCACAATTTCTGATAGTATACTGTTCTTTCATTTTATGACTTCAAGATATTTTAAATCTTGTCTTAAAATTGAAGCGTAACTTCCTCTAGAAACTCCTGTTCTACGTTAAGGAAGATCCATAGCTTTTAGTGAGTTGAAGTGCTGATGTTCTGATCTTTATTCTTCTTTCAACCTTACCATCAACAGCAAAAGTGACAAAGTTTGCCACAATCACTCCCCTATGTCAAGGATTTTCTACAAGAAGAGATGTTACATAAACTAAGTCCTTGCTTTTGAGTTTAGATACAGTGTGCTTGAATCATGTGTGTTCAAACAGCCGCTTGAGCTACATTTGCCAGCAGCACACTGCAAGGCCCTCATGCTCAGCTGTTCCTTTGCTCAGAAGAGGCTTCCTGAGATAAAACGCCACAGATTTGGTCAGAAAAGGCAAAGCTGTGCAGGTCGCATCTGCATGGCTGGGCATCTTCATGCCCTGCGTCCAGCCCAAAGAAGCGCACAGCACAGGACTGAAGCACTGCGAGGCTCCGCGGTGCTTTTCTCACAAAGGGAGCAATGGCAGAAGGACTATGCAACCCAGCTGGGAGCTCAGGCAGCTGCTGCTGGGAATCCTCGGCCGCAGGCAGAGGCCGATGGCCGACACCTTTGGCCCTTGTGGCGGTGATGAAGCGACTGCGGAGTGCTTTTAAGTGCTTGCGAGCGGGCAGGGCGCAGAGCGGCAGAGCGCGGACAGCTTCCCTGGCCAGCCGGGCGGGGGGCTGCCCAGCCCGCAGGCACCGCGCTGACAGGAAGGCCGCCCAGCGGCATCGCGGAGCTCAGCCGCTCCACCTCTGCGCCACGCTGAGCCGGGCCGGGCGAGACGCGGCGCCCCGGGCAGGGAGAGCCGGGCGGGGTCTGGGCGCGAACCGGCGCGGCCCTCCGCCTCCGCCAGAGCTCTGCCCCCGCCGTGCACCCGGATCGGGGCCCGGGCCCGGCCAATGAGCGCGGAGGCAGCGTGGCCGCATTATAAGAGGCTGCCGAGAAGGCGGCAAGCTCTCAGCCGGGCCGTCGGGTGGGAGTCGCGCTTCCTGTCAGCGAGAAAGGTTCGCCATGTGCGGTGAGTGAGGGGGAGAGAGACGGCGCCGCGGGCAGCGCCAGCGCGGAGACCCGCGTTCTCTCCGGTGGCTCCGCGAAGGGAGCTGGACGAGAGCTGCTTTGTTCCGTGCGCGCCCGCGGGACGGTGCGGGGTGAGAGACCCTGCGAGGGGCGTCCATTTTGTGGGCATGGGGAGAGGGGCGAGCGGCTGCGGGGACCCACGGCTCCGGGCTGTGACGCCGCGTTGAGCGGTGCTGCCCGCCGGGCTGAGGCTGTGCGCGGAGTCCCGCGGAGAGGCTGTGGTTTGCGAACAAAGGCGGTATGGAGCGCCGTTCTTAGCTGCTCAGAGTTTATCCACCTTCCTTATCTTGTGAAGACGGTGAAGATAACATCTGCATCCGGTATAGGCTTGCTTAAGGTGTGCTGTGGGCGAGATTAAAAAGGCACGAAGACCGCTAATGCAATTATTCCGCTTGTGAGGGAAACGGGAGCAGAACTTCACCTGTCCCCTCCCCAAGACTTCCCTTGAGCCTCAGAGGGAAGTTTTTCGTTGAAAGGAGAAAAATCTTTTTCATTTTTAGCAGTCACAGACAAAACCTTCTTTGTGAGATGCAGGCTGACAAAAAGCTGTTTTTCTCCCCAAAAGCGTGCTTTCGGAGCTAGACAGCTTTTCCCTACCTCTGCGTTCTCTTTATAACCTCAAAAAGCGAATTGCCTCAGAGCCTTTCGCTTGTATGGGAGCAGGAGGTGCTACCTGGCACCTACGTGAATCACTGACTGTCCCTGAAGCATCAGGTGAGAGATTGGCTCAGCGCACACCAGAGGTATGGGCTGCAAGCGAGGAACACCGTGATGGTGTCAGAGACTTGTGGTTGGGAAATGAGGGTGTTAATGCTGCTCAATGAGTTTGGTAGATCAGTGAGCTTGGGGTGGAGAGACTGACTCAGTGTGGAATGGCACAAAGCAGTAATTCGCAAAGGCAGTGAGGCCACAACGTTAGTTTATTCCATCAGTGTTTGGAGGTCCGCCACCTTCAGCAGTAGCGAAATGGGCAAATATTGCAAAATAGGTGAGAGTAAGAAGTCCTGGGGAATCAGTGATCTGTTCCCCAATCTTAAATCTTGGCCCATTTAATGTGGTGGTTGTTAACCCAAAAGCTGTGCTGTTCTCCTTACTATGCTGACTGTACAGAATCACAAAAAATAGTTTAACTTGGAAGGGATTGATCTAAAGATCATCTAGCTGCAGCTGCCCCTGCCCTGATGTAGGAGCTGCAGGAGTTTTTGAGGTTTAGGGATAGAAATATGTCCTGTTATGTTTCCTCTTGCTCTAGGAACTTGCGCATGAAGGTTTGATGCCAGCGTTCAGGGTTTTGAAAATGCATAGGTCCTTACATACTGACATATACATGCTTTTCAGGAAATGAAGTTGAGATTTACCATGCTCATGTATCTAAAGACAGGGTAGCAGATTTAAAAAAAAAAAAAAAAAAAAAAATTCTTAAAACTGATTACCTATTTAAAAAAAAAAATCATTTCATCAGGATAGGAGGTTCTGTCTGGGACTGCTTCACAGCTAAGTTTCTGGCGTCAGCGATGTGCTTACCTCATTAAAGGCACCCATTTATTTAAAAAAAAAAAAAATAAAAATTATTTTTGCTCAAACTTCAAGTACAGGCTGCCCCCTTCTTGATTTTGGTGAAATCTTGCAATTGCAAGGCTTCTTGTGGAATTTTCCCACAAAAAATACTCAGTGAATATTTTTTCCTCCCCTCTTCTTGATGCTCAGCTTGCAATCCCAAAAGGGAAAAGTTTAAAGTCATGGTGTGCATGCAGAGGGACATCCTTGCTTTCTGTATCTGTAACAACCCTCTGTTTTGAGTGCCTGATTCTGAAGGTAAGCTGTGTTACAGTTGACATCGTTTGTGTTTTTATGCAAACTAGGTAATAGTGGAAAGTTGTAAACTAGACTTAGCATTGAGGTCAAGAGAGCAATGCCCTCGTGAAATGGCCCTGAAGTCATTTCATTGGATTATGTGTTTGTTTGTATCACTTAGGGAAGTATTACGATGCTTATGCTGTGCCAGCACTTGATACGTATCGCATCAGTATTGCATTAACTTTGAGAACACTTGGGTCTTTATTGGGGAGAAGCAAGCTCTGGAAATAACCTCTAACAGCTTGGGGAGGCTGTTACAAAGGGACTTCTAGCATCACAGACCTCTCTTTATGATTCATCAAGGGTTCAGTCACACTGATTTGCTTCCAGAAGGAATTCAGCTATAAGAGCTCTTTATCAAATGTTGCTTCTCTGCATGTTGAGCAATGCACTTTAAATCTAGTCAAAACGGTGACCGATTAGCGAAGAAAATATGCGAGTGGGTATATTGTGAAGCAGAGGAGTAGCAGGGAAACAGTGCTGAGAGCAAGATAGATTTCCTTTAAGTTGAAGAGTCTTAGTGTACTTCTTAAGAAGTCAGGCTTCACTATTGCTTTCATTGTAACGGCTCCAGTGACTTCTGAGCCTCCCCTGGTTCACGTGTATGAGCACAGCCCCGGCTCCCTGCAAACAAGGATCCCTTTAACAATCGCAGCACACTGGCAGCATTGTGAGGACGGTCCCAAAGGAAGGTTTTTCCTGGAGCTCTGCGTCGTCCGAGATGCCACATGGAACACACAAGCCTGATGCATCTTAAATACATTGTGAAATCTGGCCTAGAAAGTAGAGCTGAGACTGAAACGAGGTGTGTAGCAATGTTTTGGAATGATGTTGAGAAATTTGTATGCTGCTCTTGAGGTTCGTGGTTACTGCCAGAGAACGGTAAACGTCTGTCTGGAAAAATGATCAACAAGCTCTCAGTCTAAGGTGGCTTTATGTAACTGGAGGAACAGTTTTTCAAAGCATCCATGAAGAACAGTATTTTGCTGTTCAAATTCCCAAATACCTCTTTAAATGTATCCATTGCTTCTATATCTCCATTAATGTAGGGCTTCTATAAACAATTAGGTGAAGATCCTCATAAATCTCACTTCTTAAGCAGAAATCTGTGTTCCAGCCTATAAGCCTTCCAAGATAAATGCCGTTGTCAATGTAACAGTCCCTTGGTCTCACTGTCAGAGCAGCAGCATTCGTGGCTTCAGACCAAGGAGTCCCGAATTCCCAACAATATGTATACAGAAGATTTATTGGAGCATCATTGTAACTGTTTCTTCCTACAACTCTTTACAGTTCAAAAGATGTAATTGAAGGGGGAAAGGGTGTTGAATTTCAAACAAAGGCTTTTTCTATTGAAAACACTTGGTTGTCTCTTAACTGCTTATCTGTTGAGCTCTTCAAGTCTGGCTTTTGTGAGCTTAGGTTCCAGTCCTGACTTGCTGCTTGGAGAAACTATAGAAACAGTGAGATTAGACTTCTCTGTTGTACTGGGGTGCAGATCTACAAGGGTTAATATCAGGCATAGTTTACTCTTATAGTTACACAAATCCCAAGGAAGGCAGTAGGCAAATAAAATAAGTAATGAATAGTTGTTTCCTTTTGTTTTTCCTTTCCTTTGCAGGTGATGCTATTTTTTGTTAAACCTTTCCTAAAGATATGATGTCACCCCAAGAAACTCAGTTTAAGAGTTGTGTGTGTGTGTGTGTCTGGGGGGGGTGGAAAAACCCAAAACCTAAAAAAGCTGCATTTTGGTTGATGAGTGGCCTATTGAAGAGAAGAGAGGTCAGACATGCAGGCTCTTTCAGGCTCCTTCTGTTGGCCAAGTAGGCATCAAGGGGGTGCGTGCCTTTCCTGTGCTGCCTCTGTAGGAGCTGACCTGAGTGACTTGGGGCAGGCGAAGGGATCCGATGTCTGTGCAGGGTTTGGTAGGCAGCTTTGTGTGAGGCAGCGCCAGGGGTGAGTGCTTGGTTTGTGGGTGAGCCTGTTCTGCATCTTCTGTTTCTTTCCTTTGTTGTCTTATCCTTTTGACTTCTGCCCTTTCTTTATGTTGGCCTCTCTATTCCCTTCCTGCTGAAGTGGCTGTTGTATACTAGATTAAGCTGGAGCCTTTCAAAAATAGTGTTGTGCCTAGTACCTACCCATGGGTATTTAGGGCTGTGACTTTGATTACAAAAATCGCCTTGTGTTAGGACTGCTGAATATGTTCCTTCTTTGAGTGTCTAGTTTTAGATTTGGATATAAAATAGATCACAATGTTCCCATTTTCAGCTGTGGTTTTCATGAAAAGTGGAATTTTTTTTATTTTTTTATTTTTTTTTAAAGCTCTCTCAACTGTTTAACTCCTGGTGGGTATTATGGGAAGAGTCAAGTCAGCCAGGAAAGCTTGTGTTTGTGATCGCTGTGATACTCCTGATTCATTTATTGTGTTTGAGCTCTTTCAATTTAAAAACCCGTTAGCAAGAATTGTAGTAAATGAGAGGTGGTATCCTCCTAGTGCCTCTCTGTAATGCTAATATTGAAGAGTTTTAAGCTGGGTTTGAAGATATAATGAGTAAAAAAAAAAAAAAAAAAAAAAAAATTTGCTTTTCTTAATTCTTCTTTACTTTTCTCTTTAAACAGGAATTTTTGCTTATCTGAACTACAGAGTACCCAGGACTCGGAAGGAAATTTTTGAAACCCTGATAAAAGGATTACAGAGACTAGAATACAGGGGATATGACTCTGCAGGTATCTAAACTAACTCAACGCATTACTTTTAGCAACCAGTAGCTACGTATGTTACCTGTGTGATTTCTTGGGTTCTTTCAGCACCATCAGATTTTTCACTGATATCTTTCAGATTGAAAGATCAGCATATTTGTCTCAATTCTTGGAGCTGTTTCTTTCAGCTTGACTCAGGATTTCCAGTTGGGTGTTCAACTCTGGAATCAGATGGTGGTTGAAGTTTGGTACACCTAAGCAAAGTAAATAAGGTGTGAGGAAGAAGACTTGTGGGTCATTTAGTTTGTGCCTCATTGTTTTTGGTACGTGTAAATCCTTGTGAAAAGATGAGGAAGCTTGAACTTTTGAGTCCCCTAATTTTACCAGGCGAAATGTATCAGTGTATCCTCAAGCAAAATTTGAGATGACCCTGTACTTTTTTCATCTGTGCAGTGGTTAGATGTCAACCTGGCTTGATTTTTAAGTGATTTGAAATCAGATAGTTTGATTGGAACATACACAGGTGCAGTGACAGATATCTCTTGGAAGGATGGTTTTGAAATAACCATTGGATCTGCATGTGCTCGATTGTATTTTCTCAGCCAGTGCATTTCACGCTTTCAATATGTGTCTGTGTGCTGTATTACAGGAGTGGCAATTGATGGAAATAATAATGAAGATAAAGAAAGGTTCATCAAACTGGTCAAGAAAAGAGGAAAAGTAAAGGCCCTGGAAGAAGAGTTGTACAGTAGGTGCCTTTAAAAATACCCCTTTACTTTGGCCAGGTAAAATCTGCATCTCAGCAGGAAGTTGGACCGTGAAATTTACTGTCGTGATTTTGTGGCAGAAATAACTGCATTATGTAATCTAATGGTGGTTAAAGAGTCTGCACTTGAAAAGCAATCCGGCCTCTGGATACCATGCTGTGAAATTATCAGTCTACTTCCCCTCTCGTTTAGTTGCCTCTTTGTTCAGTACTTGGGCTCCCTTGGTGCTTTATTTTGGTGATTTCTGTGCCTGGTAGCGGAGATGTCAGAACGTGGACTCTGACAATTTATGAGCATTTAAGCAGCTGGCTGCCATCACAATCTGCTTTATGCTGTGCTTCCGTCTGTGAAGTTGTGTTTTAGTAAGTTGATGCTATTATTTGTAGTAATGTGTTCTATTGGCCTAGCTGTTAGTATTGGCTGAGAATGCTTCAGTCTTGCCAAACAAAGTTTTAATCAGCCACTTGAACTATCTGAAGTGTAATGTCGAGTAAGCAAATGGTTTAAAAGGAAGCCAGAAGATAACTTTTAGATTTTTGCTGTAAGAATTCTCTTAGAATTTTATTTACTAACTTTGTGTGAGTGAGAGACAAACTCAACTTTGAATACTGAATAAGATGAAATTCTTTTCTGTAGAACAAGATGACTTGGATTCCAAAGCAGATTTTGAAACGCATTTTGGAATTGCTCATACTCGCTGGGCGACCCATGGAGTACCAAGTGCAATAAACAGCCACCCTCAGAGATCAGATAAAGGGAACGGTACGTATCCTCTGCAGCACTTCAGAACTGTAAGAATTCAAAGTCCTGGTATCCACATAGTACAAATACACTAAAGCAAGTGAGAAAAGAGGCTGTCTGCGTCTTATACGACATAGGGCTAAGTTTTTGCTGTTCTACTTAGGTTAGACACTTGTACAATCACATAGGCTCTTTTGAGGCTAAAGTAGCACTGTAAAAAGCTGAAGAGGTCTGTTCTCTGAAAACTCATGCAAGTTAGTCAAAGGAAAACATTCTGTAAGAATCTAAAAAGCTAAGTGCATCAGTATTGTCACAGCTGGAAAAAGATTGCTGTAAGGCATGTCTTGCTGCTATTCTCTTGGGTATATAGTTTGGAACAACTTTTGTATGCCTTCAAAATTCCCAAGCTTCAGCTTGCTGCTCTGCACGTTATAGTAAACTGCAGGTCTGAAAGTGATAGCAGGTAGTTTCTAGTGCACTTCTTTCTCTTGTCATGTATTCTGGGTTAAATATCTTAGTTTTCCATGTGTATTTAATAATTTATTTTTCTTTCTTTTAGAATTTGTTGTTATCCATAATGGAATCATCACAAATTACAAAGACCTGAGAAAATTTCTGGTAAGCCTGTGGCTTGTTGATTCTAAAACTGAAAGTAAATGCCCCACCATCTGCTGTTTGGTCTTTCGTGACTGTTAGAATTTTAATTCAATGTTCTTGATGTCAGCTATAAAATAGTAGTGTGAGGGAGTCTAAGAAAGGTATTCAGGAGCTCGTGAGCTGCAGTATGTTCTTGTAACTGTTCGTGCAAAGTAATTACCTCCAGAGTAGCATTGTGTTCAAATTGATGGAAGGCATGTGAGGAGTGGGCTCCTTCCTGTCTCGTTGCTTAACAGATGATAAGCAAGTCTTACTGCAGTGTTTCTCAGAGAGTAAGCTGTGACCAGATGGGTCTTTATGCTTTGTAGTGGTGTGTGTGTGTATATGTATGCATGTTTATGCATGAACCACTCCAATGCAGTGCTTTGAGCAGTCTGTTTTACTGTGCAGTATCTGGTGGGAGACAGATGAAGTGTTTGTTGCCTGAGGATGTAAACTTCTTACTTTCCTGTATGATGTTTCAGGAAAGCAAAGGCTATGAATTTGAGTCTGAAACAGATACAGAAACGATCCCTAAACTGATCAAATATATGTATGACAACAGAGAGAGTGAAGACACCAGTTTTTCAGCCTTGGTAGAAAGAGTTATTCAACAGTTGGTAAGTGGGAGGTTCAATTTCTTTTCCCTTTAACAAGTGTAAGCTATTTATGATGTTCCTTAGGATTCTGCATTTATGCCTCAGGATCCTCTGCAGAATTCCTTAGAAGATTCTAAAAAAATGCTTTTTGGCCTCTGGAGAATGCTTAACAGACCAAGAAATCAGATTAAAAATTTGGGAACTTCAAAGGCTTTTCAGTGCTAAATTTTAAATTGCATTAGGTGGTGGGTGGCTTTGGGGTTTTTTATTGTTGCTGTTTTTTGGGTTTGTTTTAACTTTTTAGTTATAAAAAGTTTTAGCTTTTTTTTTTTTTTTTTTTTTAATTTAAGAAAGAGGTTACCACAGCTTTTGAGTGAAGGACTAAGTTAGAAATAACTGATGGAGCCTCTGAGGCTTGGTATCTCTCACAAAGGACAGCACGCATTCTTAGGCTATTCTGATCTTTTAAAGCTTAAAACACTGCAGTGATTCAAGTTTGTCTGATAAGATGCCTTGGCTCCTAAGTTTGGAAATAGATCTAACAAGCTGTAATGATTCATGGCTTAGCTGGTTCCCAAACTGTGAAGTAGTAATCTACTGTTACTTCACTGTGAATGCTTAAGATCTTTGATAGATGCACTGCAAACTTGGAGAAAGCTTGCTTTGTTTCCTGCCCAGTCTCCAAGCACATGGTTTCTCTCCCCTTCCTGCAGTTTCTTACACTCTTTATGACCTCTTCTTCCTCTCTAAAGCAGCTCTGTAGTAGTGTTCTCCTTGGAGCAGGGCTGGAATACACATGAAGCAAAGGTCTGCATGGGTCAGAAGGGAACAGTGGTGCAGTAACCTAGTTGAGAGGAAGGCTAAATTCATCTGTGTGCGAGAACAAGCGCAGAGTAGTCTCAGACCAGAGCATAGTAAGAGAAGGGAGCATTACATCTCTTTGCAGGGTGGGAGAGCTTTTGCTCTTCCCTTTAGAACACTTCTCAATTTTGCAGGCTGCATTAATACTGTGGAGCTGTTGATTGTGCATTCCTGTTTTTGTTGTGGGTGCGGGGATCTGGTGGTTGGTTGGTTTGTTTGTTTTGGTAAATGAGTTAATGAGATTTTGCTGCTTAAACTAGAAGTAGTGACTGCAGAATTTTTAGTTTGAAATGCATGACAGACAAACCTGTGTGTGCATATTCTTACTAAAACTAAATTTGTAACTCAACTTTTATGTTAATTATCAGTAACTCTCTTGAAATTTTCTTCATCCTTGCAGTGGAAGGTTTTGTTTTTATTTATAAAAGGAGGCAAATTATCTTGCCTAAGTGCTTCCTTCCTGATCTTTCAACTGCTGCACCCTGTGTGTTAGCTTGTTCTGCTTTGTGACCAATTCCTTTTAAAGGTGCAGTCTGCCCTTCAGAAGGAGATTCCTGATAGTAGTAAGAGCTTTCCTTTGGGCCCTCCTCAGGAAGAGGGGCCCCAGTTATATGAGGCACAACTAATTGAGATAAGTCATTCAGGATTTTTTTTTTCTTCCTTTCCTGTCTCCATGGTTTTCAGGAAGGTGCTTTTGCACTGGTTTTCAAGAGCATCCATTACCCAGGTGAAGCTGTTGCTACCAGGTTAGTAAAAGCCCGTTTTATGTGTAGTTCATGCCATTTTAGGTTAAGAATATTAAGACTGTGCTAATGTTTCTGCTTCATTAAAAAGGGGAGGGGTAAGGTACAAATTTATTTATTTAATTACAATTTATTTTGGATATAAAGACTGTTTTGTAATACAACTAAAAAGCCCATTGCTTCTGTGGTCTAAAAAGGGACTATATTAAGGTCATGAAAAAGCCAGCTGTGTCATCATTCAAACTGAAAAACATCTTCTGAACTAACTACTCTATATCAAGTTTGAGTTTGGGTTTTCAGGAGTGGGGGGATTAACAGGAGCTAAACTTGTGATCTGAGGTATTGAGAAAATGAATTACTTTTTTATTCCTGTGAGATTTTTAAAGTAAGCTCTTTAATAAGGCACGTGACCTATATAATTCAAAAATTATCTTAATATCCTACAGTTTTAGAGATTGACAGTGTAAAATGCTTAAGGGTGGAATAGTATGTTAATAGCAAAGAACTATTTGCTAGTTAGGTTTGGAGGCAAAGTGAGCTTTATTTAAAACTGGGACTCAAACTGGTGCCTTCATGTACATCTCCCTCTACCTGGATGTAGATCACTGGGAAGGAATCACCAAAGCATATGGCACTTAGTCGTATAATAAACTTTGGAGAGTCTTAAATAAGCCAAGTTTATACAGTTTCTGTCATATAACAATATTAGGATCAGAGTTGAGGAGGATCTTCCTATTTAGGTTAAATGGGATATTGTCTTTCATCTTCACTGTTGTCCTTTAGCTTCTCTGCATGCAGCTTTCTTTGTATAAACTTGGATGTTTTCCCTTTGTAGAAGAGGGAGTCCTTTGCTCATTGGAGTTAGAAGCAAGTACAAGCTTTCCACTGAACAGATTCCTGTTTTATATGGAACATGTAAGTTGATAAATCTAATTATGTTGTTTTTAAGAGCCAAAAGTTGTAGTTAATTTGTTTTATTGGAAACAAGGTTAATTAGTCTTTGTACTATAAAATTGCCAGCTGATCCTCCAAATATCTTCTTATCTGAAAGTGTTCTATTTTTACACTGCTCCCTTCCCCTGAAAAGTATTTGCATAATGTGCAACTATGATAACTTTAACCTGAATAGCCTGTAATCTCCAACTTGAACAGGTCTGGTTTTGCATTTTAAGTGCCTCATTTCTTCAACAGGCAACATTGAGAATATGAAGAACATGTGCAATTCACGAATGAAAAGATTGGACAGCTCTACCTGCCTGCATGCTGTTGGGGATAAAGCAGTAGAATTTTTCTTTGCTTCAGATGCAAGGTAAGAGCTGCTTTTGTTTAGAAGTGAGATGATTCTGGAAATCTTACGCTGTTTTGTTGCTGCACAGCTCTGTTCTGTTAGGATAGCTGCTTATCAGTTACTTCATTAAGCCCATGAGATAAGACATTTGAGTAATGTAGAGGCTTGACAACAGTATTTGAACTGTTTACTGGTGCAGCGTCTGCAAATTACTTACCTCCTTGCCTTCTATGTAAAATGCATCCAGTGCAGGAAGGTGAGTACAAGTTGCCACTATCAGGCAATTCTTTGGGCAGACTATAATTGGGTGTGAGTTTTGGCATTTTAATCCAGCTATCTGGGATATCAGAGGAGAAAAGAGTGGTGAAGTTCGAAACTAAAGAGGAACCTGGGTACTGGGTATGCACTTGTCTCAGAAGCAAGATCCTGACTGTGGAGATCTATCTGAGATGACAAGAGACAAAATCACATTGGCACAAATTTGCTGAAGTGAGTTGCTGTGCTGGAGCTTCCTGCTCCAGTTTTCGGTGAGAGTGCATGAGGAGCAGCAGATGGAGCCATTCCCTTTGAGATGGCTCTATTTGTAGTTAGGCCCAAAAGGAAGATAGAAATGGGCTAGACAAGCAATATAGCATATTTAATTGCTTTGAGGAGTGCTGCTGCCACCTCTTACTGAAATGTCGGGTTTGTCTTGCTTTTGTTTTTCTCTGTAGTGCTATCATTGAGCATACCAACAGAGTGATTTTCTTAGAAGATGATGACATTGCAGCAGTAACTGATGGGAAGCTTTCAATTCACCGTCTGGAGCGTTCAGCTAGTGACGATCCTTCCCGGGTCATCCAGACCTTGCAGATGGAATTGCAGCAAATCATGAAGGGTGAGTTGAAACGTGTAAATGAAAATTCTCTTTGTAACTGTAACAATCTCCAAATAACAAGCCATATGTATATATACAAGCATGACCTTGTAATGTTTTTCTTAACAGGTAACTTCAGTGCATTCATGCAAAAGGAAATTTTTGAACAACCAGAATCAGTTGTCAATACGATGAGAGGCAGGGTGAATTTTGAGAACAGCACAGGTAACTCAGACTAGGCATTCAAGCTGCACTGAGCACACGTGATTTTAAGCCTATTAGCTGGAAAATACCATACACGATTGATATATGCTTTTTCTTTTGTTTGATTGCAGTCCTGCTGGGGGGTCTGAAGGACCATTTGAAAGAAATCAGAAGATGCCGAAGGCTGATCATTATTGGCTGTGGGACCAGTTATCATGCTGCAGTAGCTGTATGTTAAACCTTAGCTGTACTGCACCTATACCTCTTAGTTGCTGGGTTTTTAATACAACAGATCTTCATCTGCTTTTCCTTCTGTACCACAAACTTTTCTTTTCACTGCGGCATTGCAGCATTTGTTTAATCTGCCTTTGTGCCATGTTCTTCATTAAAACTCCGGTGCTGTTACCTACTATGCTAGAAAAGTAACTTTTTTCATCTTGGTAAGCTCAAACTGTCTATTTTTGTAGTAGGAATCAATTCAGATTCTTTCTCGCTCTTTCAATGTCAGGTCTTTATGGGTGTTGATATTAACAGATATCGTGTGTTGCTTCATTACAGACTCGACAAGTACTGGAAGAATTAACTGAATTACCTGTGATGGTGGAACTTGCTAGTGACTTCTTGGACAGGAACACACCTGTGTTCAGAGATGATGTCTGCTTTTTTATAAGTCAGTCAGGTGAGCTGTTTCTGCTGTTTGTTTTACTGAGTGCAAACTAAAGAGAAATAAAAAACCTCCTTTGCTTTCTGAACGTTGCAAAGGAGGATGCTGGGCTGTGTTTGTCTTGAATGAAAGTTTATTTTGGTCTTGATTCAAATACAAAGACAAAGGGTGAGTGCTGAAATGTTTGTTCTGGGCGTGGATACAGTTATTCAGAACACAGAATAATTTCTTCTGTAGTATTTTTCAGGAGCTGTTGCTATCCTACGTGAACTTTAAATCAAGTTGTGAATGCTTTCCAGGTGAAACTGCAGATACCCTTATGGCTTTGAGGTATTGCAAAGAACGCCGTGCTCTAACAGTTGGCATCACAAACACCGTGGGAAGCTCAATATCCAGAGAGACTGACTGTGGTGTACATATCAATGCTGGACCTGAGATAGGTGTGGCAAGCACAAAGGTAGGAGCTGTTTGGTGTTCAATTTTTATACTTTACCACTGTGTAATCCAATTATAGTTTTAATCGTAGCACTTCAGATTGAGATCATAGTAACTCACTTATGCTTGGCTGCTAAATGCTCTGTTTTGTCTGCAGGCTTATACCAGCCAGTTTGTGTCTCTTGTAATGTTCGGCCTCATGATGTCAGAAGACCGAATTTCTCTGCAGAAAAGGAGAAGGGAAATCATTAGTGGACTAAAATCATTGCCAGGTATATTGATATTTATTTTGGGTTTGAGGAGATTTTGTTTAATGGATAATACATTTAAATGTAATTTGAAAAATATTTAAGTTGCTCTTTTCCTTTCTCCCTGAAAGGTAGATAACATAAGAAAAATAGGCTACTAGTTTCTACACCAATTGGCAGTTTTACAAATATACTTCCAGAAAACTTGGCAGAAAGATCAGAATTACAGTAGGATAGCTTTGAGAATTATTCCTTGATCTCCTATAGATAATCTAAAATTTGTAATGCCTTTCACTTTAAACCAGTATAGGGGAAACAAAACTAATCCAAACTGACTTTAAAACAGATGTTCAGAACTTCCTTTAGTATTTCAGATGGGATGCATTGACTCTGCTTAAACTAATAGTCATCTTAAATTTGTTACTGTACATAAGATTGGACAAAGCATGTTTAAAGCTCTATCAAAGTTGCAGATATAGGAAGTTAACACCTGAATTATGTTGAGTATATTTGTTATAAAAATATCATTAGAGAATCATACTACAAAAAGCTAGGAAATACTGGTTTTTTTTTCCAGTTGATGGAGAATTTATATGTGCTTTTTGTGTGATCCAATAGAGATGATTAAAGAAGTCTTATCCTTGGATGAGAAGATACATGACTTGGCTCTTGAGCTGTACAAACAAAGGTCGCTGCTGGTTATGGGTCGTGGATATAATTATGCCACTTGTCTGGAAGGAGCTCTGGTAGGAATCTCTCAAAGTCATTGGATATTACTTGAAATGAGCTTTTGTTTCTGCAGCACTTTTTCTCATATTTATTTACAGTTTAATTCTGCTGCTGTAAAACTGCTGCCATGTGTAATTAGAACGATTAATCCTGTTGGACTGAACACATACATAAGGTGAATTTGGTGTCATTCTTAAATACACTTAAGGAGTGTATTTAAAAAAAGAAAATGAAAAAACCCTACAACTTAATACCACTTAAAATGCTGGTTGTTTGAAAATATCCTCATAAAACACTGTTCAGTATGCTGGTGTTCAGGCAAGATGTTCATGCAGGGAACTGCTAAATTAATTACAGATACCCTCATGTAATGGAGCTATGTCCATCTCTCATAGAAGTTAGAAATGTGGTGCTAGATGTTAAGCTCTTAAAAATTCCTGTTGATTACTCCATTTCATTCTCTGCAAATGCATGTGCATGAGCAAGCTCCATTTCCACCAGCAGCCTGCTGGAAATCCCAGTGTACGGGAATGTCTGTTCTAGCCATTAACTGATTTTTGAAAATAGCACTTGCATTTAATTGATGGATGTTTTGCTTCTTGCAGCTTTTATTTCTAATCTAATTTACTTCTAACTTTCTGGTATTTGCATTTGTTTTGTTAGAAAATAAAAGAAATCACCTATATGCACTCTGAAGGTATCCTGGCTGGTGAGCTTAAACATGGTCCGCTAGCCCTAATAGATAAACAGATGCCTGTTATCATGGTCATCATGAAGGATCCTTGCTTCACCAAGTGCCAGAATGCTTTGCAACAGGTCACAGCTCGACAGGTAAGCTGTAAAGTAATGCAGTGTTGTAGGGAAAGAAATTGTGCATGCTGGATTGTGGCCAAATACATTTCAGAGGCAGGATTTGGTGAGGGTATTTTTTTTCTACTTAAAAAGTTATAAATCAGGTGCTATAGCTTCATTGCAGCTTGCAGTTTAACACCAGTAATGGTAAGTGATTTTATGTAGATGTTTCTTGATCTTGAATCAAAGAAAATAATGTTAAAACTCTAATGATTGTTGCATGAGACTTGAATGTTTTCAGTGAGTGACAGAACCCATTATGCAGGAATAACATTTTCTTGGTTAGCTATCTTTATTTTTTCAAACATAGTACAGATATGCTGTGAACTAATATTTCAAAGCAGCTCTTAACTGTAGAACTTTACTTTCAGGGTCGTCCAATCATCCTGTGTTCTAAGGAAGACACAGAAAGCTCAAAATTTGCCTACAAAACCATTGAGCTGCCTCACACAGTTGACTGCCTTCAAGGAATCTTGAGTGTTATTCCTCTCCAGTTGCTTTCATTCCACCTGGCTGTTCTCAGAGGATATGATGTAAGTGCTTTCTATGTATAGCATTCCAGTTAGAGCAGTTTTGCACTTCCTCCTACCAATGTTAAGGGAGAGGCAAGGTTACATAGCATTTCTAACAAAGAACTATGGTAATAGTTGCTGCAACTGGTACTTACTGTGGTAGTAGAGGTTGCATTTCACTGCCAGTTCTTCAGCCTTTTCTTGAATTGGCATGGATGATGGTTCTAAAAAAACGTAAAGATTGTTTGCTTAGTTTGATTAGTGAAGAATGCAGATAATAATTTGTCAGAAAACTAAGCATTGAAGAGTGATATTGCACTTTAACAGAGAAGAGTTTATTGCTTTGTACAGCTTAGTTTGTTGACTCTGTCTAGGTGTGTCAGTTTGGTAAAGATGACCCTGTTGGAAAGGCATCCTGTGCAAAACAATATATTAAGATTTGTTAGGAGGTTCTTGCAGGTAATGATGAATTCAGCAGTGAGTTATCTGCAGATCTGTAGTCTCTTGTGTGCATTAGTGTGTCCAGAATAAAGCAGAACTCAGTAGGAATTCTTTTCTAAAAAAGCAAAAAGCACCAAACGGAACAGCACACTAAATGAATTATCAAATGCAGAATGCCAGTTATGTTCTGTCACACACTGACAGCCTGTCTTTTCATTCTAGGTGGATTTCCCAAGGAATTTGGCCAAATCGGTTACTGTAGAATAACAGCCAAGAATAGTGGATATTTTTATCACCAGACCTCTGTGTTATGCTTATTGAAATGTGTTGTTCTGAATCAATAGGTACATGTTTTTCAAAGGGAATGAGAGTGATAACTGGTCAGTGTCAGAAGGATTTATCTTGCAGCTTTAAAAGCTCCCGATGTGCCTTGTTACCCAAGTGCTTTTGCTCTCAGCAAATATTTCTAAGTCCTGAAATTGCCAAAGGATAAGATAAAAATCAATGTTTACACATGGTATACTGAATGAACTTTTCTACAGTGCAATATATATATATATATATATATATATACAGCTCTCTTCAGAGTAACTGTGAACATTTTTTTTTTTTTTTTTTTTTTTTTTTACACTACTTAACTAGTTTTAAAGATAAAGTATTTATAAGTACAACTGTATAGCATTTCTTAAGTTATTTTTTTTTTTAGTACATTGCTTAACTACAGCATTGGTAATGAGTCGACATGCTCAGTACTCATGGGGAGTTTGTGTACAGTTTTTTGGATTTTTCTACTACAGCTTCAAACTGGAAACTGCTTGTCCTCTTCCTCCCAGTTTCCTGCCCCCCCTCCTCCTACAGTTTGCACCTGGTTTGTATTTCGCCACCTTTTGCAAAGAGTTCCTGTGGCCATAAATTCTCAGCTGTGTTTTCAGCTCTTCCTCCTACTTTCAAGCTGATGCTGTGAGAAGGCCCAGCAGTGTTTTGTATACTGCCCCAGTTCTTATTGCCTGGCTTGTATAGAGCAACAAAATAAGGGAACTTCCAAAATAGTGTATCTTCCAAAAGGTACTTCTGGTTGAAGTGTGTACAATGTAATTAATATGCAATTAAAGAAATTATTATACAGATGCTTCTTGTTTTGGGGCTTTTTTTCCCCTCTTAGTCACTTGTATGATCTGAAAGCTGCAACAACAGCGCAAAACACCACCAGGAGGGCTGTTGTGTTCCAACAGTCAAGAACAGAACATCACCATATAAAAATGCACATGCGTGGCACATGTATTTGGTAAAGAGTTACTGGTGTATTTGAATAAGTTCTCCTTGTTTTGCTGTGGTGGAGAGACGGTCCCACCCTGCAATCCCAATTGATGCCACCGCTGCCAGTGACGTCAGAAGTGCGGTGATAGTCTGACGTACGGTGATGACATCACGCCGGAGGGCGGGGATCGGGCCCCGATTGGCTCAATCTCCCCTCTCCCACTGCAGTGCTTCCCCGCTGGCCTGCCTTATATAGCGCCAGGTCTGTCCCGCCCCCGGACCACCGTTGGCTGAGCTTCGCGGTATGGGCTCGCGATTGGTCCGAGTGGCTGCTCGTCAGCGCGCTCAGGCCTGGCGCGGCCTGCGCGGAGCACCGGGAGGCCATTGTGGCTGGGGCGGCCCTGCGCGCAGGAGGAGGTGGAGGCGGCGGCGGAGGTGGCTGCGCGGCTCGCGAGCGCCGCGCCCCGTCCCGCTGGAGCCCGACCGAGTGAGGAGACGGTGAGGGAGGCCGCGAGGAGGGCTTTGCGTGCGGCGGGGCTGGAGCCGGAGTGAGCCGAGCCGAGCCCCCCGGCCCTGTGCCGAGAGGAGTCCCCGGCTCTTCCCGCGGGCCCCGCCCGCCGAGGCGCAGCCGGGGCCGGGGCAGGGCTTCCCCGCGCGTCGCTGCCCCGGGCCCGGCCCTCCGGAGAGGGGAAGGAGGCGGAGGGGCCGAGTCGGGGGCCCTTTCCTTCTTCTCGGCCCTGCCGTGCCCCTCGCCCTTCCCGTGCCGTACCGCCGCCCCTGCCCGGCCTCTGCGCCCCGTGCCGTCCTGGCCGCGCTCGGTGCCAGCGGGGAGCCGCGCTGTGCCGCCCCGCGACGCAAACCGCACGAGTGAAGGAATTCCGTGAGCGCGCTCGCTCGTCTCGACGGCTGCTCCGTCATTTCACGGCGGACTCATTGCACGGCAGATACACGATTGAACTTTTCCCCTCCGTCTCCCGGCCGAGGTGCGCCCAGTGTTTGCTTTCAGCGTTTGTTTGGCAGCTAAATGACGGCGGGGCTGGTGGCAGTCGGTGAGATCTGCTCGCTGATAGCTTCGGCTGGTTGAAGGCTGAGGTGCTTCTCAGAGAGCTGAGTGGATAAAGCAAGTATTGGTTAATTTACAGAGTACGTCTGTGAAGGTGAATGTTCCGTGTGGTTTCCTTGTCGTTTCGTGTGTGTGTGCACCCTGGGTTCTTTCTGTCTGCAGTGCAGTTTAGCCTGAAGTTAGTTTCTTGGTGTTCACTGTGATAACATTTCTGTATCCAAAACAGCACAGGGAACGTTCCCAGCTGTTCCAACCTGTTTGCTTGAGAAGCTTTTGACGTGGAAAATATCCAGAGAATGGATCTGGTTAATACTAAGTTGCCATTTTAATAGGTGCCTTTTGCAGAGGTGACTGGTGCAGTATGTACATACACTGTAATGCAGTTGCTTTCAACCCCTAAGTACTTCCCTACAGTGATTCTGTATCACAGCTAAAGCGTTTATTGGAGGTGGATTTGGTGTGTCTGTTTTCCTTTTTTTTTCAAATTATTTTACTTTGCATGAACTGAGGCTGAAAACCACTTCTGTAAGCACTTGTGATCTCTTTGCATAGAGTAAAATCAGCTTTATGCTTTTTAATTTTTCCAATTCTACAAGCACCTTATTAAAACAAACACAGAAACCTGCACCCAATTTATCTGCATCTCATGCATGCTCAAAAATAGAAAACTATCTTGAAACACTGATTGAGTGCCCTTATCAATATGCAGAAGTATGTTTGCTGACTGTCCCATGAATGAATGACTTCCACATTTGGCACTGCTCCTGTTTGCTGCAGCTAGGAAGCCATGAATGAAAATGTGTATTTCTGAAATGGAAGTAATGCCAACTTCCAAGAGATTCCAGTATGGGAGATGTGTGGGATATGTTGTGTACCTGCGAGGAGGAGTGATGAATCAAATTGCCTCAGGTAGCAGAGTAGCAGCTCAGGTTTAAGAAACTTACTTGTCAGATGCACTTTTCCCTCTTGAGTGATGGGCGACCTTCTTATTCAGCGGGCTTACCTCAAAATAGTCTCAGAGCCTTAAATTATGTCAATACTTACAGTCTCATGGCATTTAGCTTTACATTAGTGTGTACACCTGAAGTAACCTAACTCCTGCCTAGGGCTCAGGGTAGGCTGTTGCCCAGCACAGTGAGCTCCAGAGGATGTCTGAATGCATAGAGCTTGTGTGTTGTGATTCACAAATCCCTCTTTGGGTCTTGTGTAAAGAGCTTATCCTGGTCTTTAAACTGTTTTCAATAATGACTTTGTACAGAAAATATTTCTTAAAGTGAGGTTTCTTTGGTTCAGGATCACTTCCTTTTCCTCTGCTTCTTTATCACTTACTGAACAACAGTGATCCTCATTAACCTCTGAAGAAGTACCAGCATAGATCTCATGTAACTAACATATTTCATTTGATTTCCAGTGTAATCCACATCTACACTCACCCCCCCCCCTCCCCCCCTTAAGCCCCTTTTCAGAGAGAGAATCTTGATCTTTTCCTTAGTCTTGTATTTCCAGCTGTGTCTGTCTTCCAGCATTTGGAGATGTACAGAAAATACCAGGGCTGCTCAGGGGTTGTTAATCAAAAAATGTGGTGCATCAGTGTCTATAGCTCAGGAGTGATAAAACACAGGAAGGAAGAGGGGGTTCATTCCTTACTGTCTAAATAGCTGCTGGAGGTGACCAGATTGAGTATTTACTTTGTAAAATACTGCTTAGATTTTGAGATACTAGAAATTAAAGAGGACTCTAGATATTTCTTCAGAATGCCTTAAAGCTAACTGTTACCATTTTGACTTTAGTCTCCATTAGCATTTGCAACTTTACATCTTTTTTCCTTGCATGTTTCCTGTGTTTCTGTGCCCAGGCCATGGAGAAGACACTGATCCATCCTGCTGCTGGCTGGAAGGGAGAGGCCCATATTCTAATTCCTGAAGCTACTAGAAACTACTTATATAGCTCTGTGCCCTTCCAGGATGTGCTTCTGGGTTGCTGTCGAGGCTCTTCTGCTTTGCATGGGCTCGCCAATGTTCTGTAGACTGGTGAAGAAGGAGAGAATAAGTGCTCTTTCTTTAGCTACGAATGATGCAGTACAGCTGGGTGGTTGGGCCAGCTGCTTATAGGGAGGTGATCTGCTTTCATTTCCTGTTTTGGGGAACTCTTGGCTGTGCAATTTAGTCTGGGTTGTAATGGCACTATCATGATGCATGTGAAATTAAAAAGTGGAGAGTTTCTCAGAGATCTCTTTGGTTATTACTGAGGTAATTGTTATAAGGCATGGAGGGAAGATGGGTGCCTGGGAAAGCAAGGTCTGTGCTCTCGCTACTGTAGTGATTTGGAATTGAAGAGGTGTAGTACACTACATCAATCTCAGGTGTAATTACTTACATCTAATTCATTACAGACAGTTTTTAGTGTAGCACCAACATCCAGTGAGGGAGAGCCTGTAACTTCCTTAGGGAATCTTCTCTAGCACTACATCTCTTCTACCTTTGCAAAATGGGCTTTGTTTCCCCTCCTTCTCTTCGTATCTTCTAAAATGTCTAATCAGAATCTTCACAGCTCACTGCTAATCACCACATCCATTGTGTTCGTACATTATTTTATTCCTCCTTTCTTTGGGCTTTTGTGCTCTTCCTCCTCTCATCTGTTTCCTGTAAGTAACCCAGTTAATGAGATGACTTTTCCTCCTAGCCCCTTGCTGCCCTCTGGACTCCGTCTTTCAGAAAGTCCAGTCCCAGCTTCGAGTGAAAAGCAGATGAGAGAGGTGAACTGCAGTGTAACTACCTGGATGGAATTGCTTTTTGCCTGCAGTTTTCTTTTGCCTTCATTAAAGGGGATGTTAACATACAAACATAATGGTCCTCAATCACTGTAATGCATTTGGGATAAGAGTTACTGTTACAACATGGCCAGTTCTTTCAAACTTTACCAACTCTCTTAATTCTTGTAGGACTTGAAGAACACTAACTGTGGCATGGGGTGTCAATGTGTATTAAAGGCAGGAGGAGGGAGAGTGGGTGGTGATAGCAGGAACTCAAAGTTAGGGAAGTTCTGAGTCCTGGAGTCTCCTACAAGGGTTGCCTGAGGGTGGTGATGTTTGTTTTCACAGTTGTTTACTTAGCTACTTTTTGTTTTAGGGATTGGAATGGGAATGTTTGCTTACAGTTCAGTAAGGTATGATTATTTGTTGTCTCCTCTGCAGGAGTTTTTCATTAGCAGTAGTTGTAAGTGAAGCTGAACTAATGCTTATTTAATAGTATGCTATTGAAAAATTCATATGTGTTAAAATATGCATAATCTATTTTCCATCTTGTCTGCCTGGAATTACTCAGATTGAACATTTTTCTTTTTTTCTTTAAGATCTTGAAGCCTGTACCAGGTCCTTGAGAGAGAAAACTACATGACACTACACCATGAGTGACAGTAAATCCGATAGTCAGTTTTACAGTGTTCAAGTTGCAGATTCAACATTCACTGTACTAAAACGTTACCAGCAATTGAAGCCTATAGGATCAGGGGCACAGGGCATTGTTTGGTGAGTAATAAATATTTTATTTAAACATAAAAAGCTCTACGTGCATAACAAAACTTGAATGTGTTCTGATAGGGGTGCCAGGATATCAAATGTTATCAAAATCAATGAGTGCTTTGTCTCTTGCTACAGGTTTATGATGGACTAGTTACTAAAATACCTGCCTGCAGTAGTTCGTGTGGGAAACTAGCTTTTGTTTTGATTTTAGGGGAAAATAATATTTGGATAACAACATAAATGAAGAGGGTCAACAGATTTCCTTCTCATTAACCACTTCATTTTTGTTTTAGTTGTCACCTTCCCCATGTAGTTATGCTATTACAGTGTAAGGTATGGCAATGAGATGGTGAGAGATTCTGGGTTTTACTCGTTTCTTCATCATGGCCCCCTTTCTTTCCCCCCTTTTATTCCCAGTCACTCCTGTCCATTTCTAGGAGCCATCAATGCAGTGCCTTGCCATTAACTGGCAGGACGAGGCAAATCAGTGTCATTGTCACTCCATGGATTAACCAGGAAGGGATGCTGTGAGGGGTTGGGCTGGCCGTCTCTTCCTTGCTGTGTCACCTCAGCTGTGTGTCCAGCCTCCACTGGCCCAGGACGTGAGGTCGTTAGTCTGATCCTGAACCTTAGTCTCTTGTATGGCACCACACCTCTGGGCCAGCTAAAGGTAAACACTTTCAAATGTTTTTTAGACTGCAGCAGTCTATTCTGCACCGCTCACTGCCAGCCCTTGTTTTGTTGGGCAAAACTTACAGGGTCACAGCAGCAGATCTTATCGATGCGGTTTTACAATTCCATACATGAGGGAGCAAACAGATGTACTTAGGAACTCTGTCATATCACAGTCAGAAACACGTGATGGGTTGTTGGTGCTTTAAATCCAATCTGCAGTTTCTGTCTGCCAATAAATTCTGCAGAATAAGTGCGATGACTCATATTGCGAGCAACCCTTCTGCAGCCCGTGACTTTCTGGCTTTTTTAAGACCTTAAAAAATGTTTTATACTTAGGAAAGGAGTGCTAACAGGGGAAAAAATAAGTGAGAAGAGAACACTGTATTTCATTGGTCAGTGGGTTGAGTGGGGAATGGGTGGGCGTGCTAGATCTTGGTATTAGTGTTTGGGTAAGTGTTAGTGTAGTGCAAACGTGTTCTGGGTATAAATATTCTTAGTGATATGCTGGTTCTAGATTGCATGTAAGAATTTAGGTTGGTTGTAATTGCTTCTCCTTTCATTGGAAGTAGTTCCTAATGTCTAAATGAGATGAGTAAAACTAGGCATTGCTTCGAAACAGTTGGGGTCGTGCTAAGGTCAGCATCTTGGGTGGAGAAAGGGATGAAGTGATTTATTGACTTGTTTTGAGAAAACTTGATTTTTGGAACAACAGAATAAAACATTGCATAAATTTTCTTCATGTGAAACATCTGAAAACTATGTCCAAATTGAAGAAGGTGCAAAATCTAAATTTCTCTGTAAAAGTCCCTAAAA